CAATAAGTTTGAGCCTAAAAATAGTAGTTATGGGACAAAAACATTTTAACGAATCCGATTCTACACTATTATTGCATAATATATTCATTTAAGTGCTTATGTATTAACACATCTAAGTAATCTTTAAGATGAAAATAATCAGAAAATTTTATCATTGTGTATAAAAGCTTTATGATATACCAGATAACAATGTATTAATAATACGGTTTTATATAAAAACATCTATTAATAATACCTGTTTGTTGCAGTATTTGCAAGTTAATTTATCTTCTTTTACAATGAAGCACTCAAATTCCTTCACCAAATCTGCAACTTTCTGGGTGTTAGATTTTGCAATTTTTGGCATGATGCCGAAAAATCAAAGATTCAATGATTACAGCGACGGCTGGCCAACTGCTGAGCCAGTCCGAGGTTTACAGTCTACACCGAGTGCCGGGAGACTCACCGCGTAGCCGCGCGCATCGCTAAAGGCTATATATTATTGAGCGTTTGGTTGTTTGCTGTTTGATGCGCTAGTTCCCTCGGAAAATTGTGCCAAAGTATGGGGTAAAGTATGAATTTCACCAATATTATGGTTGTTCACAAATTTACTCCCTAACAATGGACGGAAAGCGGTAAAAAACGTGTTTCTTGATCTTCTAATTTCCGCGGGATGACATGAGGTTGAAATCTTTCCGGTGTTTGATGCAGATTTTTATATCAGCCGGCCCGTCGCTAATTTACAATTCAATTACTACCAGGCATATAAATACGAAATTACATATGCTCTAATATGAATACATAAGCGGCAACAATTTGCCTATGCTGTAACATTTACGCATATGCTCCGATGATAGGGCATATGCTCTAACTTTACCGCATATGCTCCAACGATAGGGCATATGCACTGACGTCAAATTTGATGCAGCATATGCAGTTATGCATTTTGCATATTGTCACAACCCTACTAATGACCACAAACAGATAATTATATGATTTGTATATTATGTGTTGTAGTAAATGAGTACGTGGCGCAATGAGGTGAGGTTAGACTTTAAGATAAAGTCACTTAACAAATTCCTTTAATCTGTAAAAACATTTTGACTGTAATTGGTCTAATAATTTTAACCAAACATGATGGGATTGTTTCTCAATAAAGTGTAAAAAGCAAGAAAAAAAAAAGAAAAAGAGAAAACGAGAGAGAGAGATTGAAAGAGAAAAAGAGAGAGAAAGAGAGAAAGAATATGAGAAAGAGAGAGATAAAAAGAGAGAGAGAGAAAGAAAAAGGAGAAATACAAAGAATGAGAAAAGAGACAGAAAATGAGAGAGAAAAAGGGAAAGAAAAATCGAAACAGAGAAAGATAAAAGGAAATAGAAAGAACAAGAAAAAAAGAAAAATAATGAGAAATATAAAGAAAAGAGAAAAATAATGAGATAGAAACAGAAAGAGAAAGAGAAAAGGGGAAAGAGATAGAGATAGAGAAAAAGCGAGAAGGAAAGAAAAAAAGAAAGAAGGAGAGAGAGAGAAAGGAAGAAAGGAGGAGAGAGAGAGAAAGGAAGAAAGAAGGAGAGAGAGAGAAAGGAAGAAAGAAGGAGAGAGAGAGAAAGGAAGAAAGAAGGAGAGAGAGAGAAAGGAAGAGAGAGAGAGAGAGAGAGAGAGAGAGAGAGAGAGAGAGAGAGAGAGAGAGAGAGAGAGAGAGAGAGAGAGAGAGAGAGAGAGAGAGAAAATGAGTGTGCATTAATTATGCAGGAAAGGAAGCATAACAGATTATATATTCTACAAAAGTTTTAAATTTCTCATTTATGCTAGTTATGGCCTTGTATATGGTTGGAGAAAAAGGTAAATGAACATAATTCAATCTTCAGATTATAGTTATTTTTTTTTTAATAGACTATCAGCCGTTTTGTTACTTTACATAAAAGATTAATTAAATCTTATTTACGCATTAGGTGATAGGAAAAAGTGAGCTGGAGACCACTCATTTTATTTCGGTGTCGTACTGCTTGCAATAAAATTCTCAAGTTAATTTTTATCTTTTAAGTCTGTTTTTGTTCTGGATCAATTTAGTAGTTATGAATGGTTAACGGTTAAAAAGCAAGATAAATGTGCTAGACATCTAAGGTCATGTAGCACTTAATAGTTATGAAGAGTTAATACAATACTTATAAATAAAAAAAACTGTTCATATTGTGCATTATTGTTATGGTCATATTTCATTTTAATTGCAACAGCTCTGACCCAAACAGATACTTGACCAATCATACATACTCAGTACAGTTTACATATAAAAACAAAATCCTTTAGCATGTAAAATAATCACAAAATTCTTCAACAAGATTTACTATACCTCTCGAAGGGTGAAAAATATATCTTTCAAACAAGCATTATGATTAGCCAAGTTATAGTACAGGAATTATCATGAACTACAATCAGTCAAGAATAATCTGCCTGTATCTTTCACCAAACCTGAACCACAGCAAGATAAATACTTTATAGAAGGTAAGAAACAAAACCAAAAAATGGATTCTTTTATTTTATTTATATATTTTTCATTTGTGCCAAAAAGTTTAATATAGTTCCTAAATAATTAACCATCCCTTTAGATTATACTGTATATAAATACTATAACTGGAAATAAAATGATTTGGGACTAGGAAAAACTAGGTTCAATAGGTATTTCTCGCTTCATTAAAATCTGACTTATCTCTTTTGAAAACTTACAAAAGCAAAATACCTAATACACATTTTAAAAAGTTCACTATTTTTACAAGAGTTTTCTTGACAACGTGCAAAATCTTTCCTCAGCTGCACTGAAATGCTGAAATGACTATTGTGTGGGGTTTTTCCTAACCATCAAACCATATGTCAAATTTGTTACATATACAAAAAGAGAACAAAAAAGAAAAATAACTGATCAATCTATAATACTCAGTAAATATAATATTGCAGAAATGGTTTGGTTACAAATGATAGAATAAGCCTTTCAAAAACGACTCCTCTTTTTCTTCTCTCTCTCGCCGCAAAGCTGTAGTTTTTCTTCATTCAAGAGGAAGAAGGGGCGGGGAATTTCTTATGCATAGTACAGGCTCTGATGGTCTTTCCTTATGACTTATGAAAGGAAGCAATTGCCTTAAACCTACAAATGAGGATGAGGAAACATCCAGCATGTAAAATTTTGTCATAAAAATTTAATAAAACAACAAATTTATGTTCTTTGGACCCTGTGATATAACAAGTCACACTTCAAACAAATATGTGACAGTTCCCATAATTGGGTTAGATGCTCTAATAATCATACACAAGTATTTATATATTCAAAATAATGAAACCACACATTCCAGTGATAATAAGTGTATCAGCACAAAAGACTCAATATTGCCAAAGACTAGCTTTTTCTTTAGGCCCTGAACAACTTAACTGCTGGATTTTAAGAGGATGATCATCAAATGCCTGTCCTAAAATAACATTATATACATCAGTGTTACTTCTGATTTTAACATTTGGTTCTGTGTCCTTGACAGTCTACTAAACAATTCATGTACAAAGGGCTTTAGGCAGTGTGGTGCTGTTACTCTTATAAAAAAGGGTATTTCCAAAGAGGACCTGACAATTTTTTATAAAACATTTAAAACTAAAACAATATAAAAAAACAAAACAAATGTAACTAGCTCACTGCAAATGCACCTGTGTTGTGGTCGACATGACCTTTCCCTCTGTCGATTCACATTTGTCAGTACGCCTGTTTGACGATGCGCATGTGAAACCATCAACACCATCAATCAAGTCCTCCTTCACATCCATGGACAGAAGCCCAAACCTCTTCCTTCCCTTTGGTTTGTGATATGATCCTTCATCGGCACAACCTGACAATTTGTGGTCATGGAATGCTGGAATAAACTACCCTGCTGCACTAGTTTTGCTCAGAAATAAAAAGATTAAAGAATTATTAATAATGTAAAAGCTATCTATATTAAAATATAAAAAGTAGTTCCCTGTGCAAGTGGTGTTAATATTCTTTATGACAAAAAAAGAATAATTAATTTTAAATGTGTTCTTGTGCTTATATGTCTTTCATTCTACTGTTTGTGCTTCTATTGAATGTGTGTTTAACATATACCATACAGAGGAATTTGAGATTAGTCAAGCATGACAGCAGTATGACCAAATGAAAGTGGTGAAAAAGAAAACTAAAAGAAAAGAAAAGAAAAAAGAAAAAGAAAGAAAGAAAGAAAAAAAGACCACGTAGAAAGGGAGTCGGTCAGTCCTTCTGCACACCTGGAACAGACTCTTTCCCTCCGGCCACTGATTAGATTTCAACTTTTCCCATGAAACTCATTTATTTACTCTGAAATTCATATGTCTCTAACTGTGATGCACACCTGCACACACACACACACAAGGCCCCAATAGGAGGCTGTGCTTTATCTAGCGTAACCACCCCCCATGTGCTGCTTTACATTCAAGACGTTTATCAAGTTACTTCAGCCTTTGCACTGTGAAGGCAATCCCATAGCATGCTGCTATTGCTATGCTTGAGAGCGAGCACAGTTAACTTTAGGCTCTAGATTACTGACCTGGGACCCAGCTTGACCTTTGGGTATGACCTCACCCTGGACCTTCAGCTCTGTCAAGCCAAATGGAGGCCCTGGACAAGGACTCACACCCAGGCTCTTTGGGGATGGGGGAGGAAGGGGGGGGTGGCGTGGCATGGCATTAAAGAACTAAATTTTCAATATTTGCTTTCTGGGGAAAGAGGAGGAGGAGGAGGAGGAGGAGGGGCATGGGGGGGGGGGGGGGTGAAAGGGTATTCTGCAAATATCACAGGTAAAAAATCTTCTTACGTTTCTAAATACCAGTTGTACTGCTGCTTTCTGAGGCATCTCCCTTTACCATAATAATCTGTTGTGATTCTTGATTAGCACTGTAATCTCATGACAGAAACTAGGATCTGCACCACCTCTGCACTTCAAACTATCTGCCATGTGTGCAAGGGTATACCAGTTTGTGTATGCCAGAATCTACCAAAACAAACACACACAATAACAGTGCTGTGATGTAAGTACTTCCCATTCAAATTTTGATATCCATGACCTCAGAAAGTGTTTGTGTTTGATTTTTCAACTTAGGATATCCTTTGAATTTGACTATAAAAGTATACTTGTCACACAAAATAAAAAGAATGAATAAAATTCACTGACTATCCTTCAGTCCTCCTTTTAAAGATCAAAGCATGTACTGGCTCTGATTTCTACATACTGACACTGGATTTTACACTTTCTTCAAAGTTTCATTACTAGTGAGAAAACTTTAATCAATAAAACTTAAGAAAAATCGAACAGTATAAATATTGAAGGTACAATATAAAAGTCAAGATCCTGAACACAGCAATAAAGAACAAATGGCTTTTTTTCTTACCAATTTCCGAGATCAGTTAACATGAATATTAATCAACTGGCATGATAAATAAAACTCTTGATACAGTACCAAAATTTCTCTAAGTCTTTGAAGAATGAACAGGATACGAAACAAATATCTTAACAAGAGGAGTCCTTTAGACTGCGAGTCCCAAATCAATCTCCCTGGAGCTCCTTTCAGAAAGTGCCGGTGCCAATTCCTTCACTTGCCAGACCTTGTATCTCCTTTGTTGTGCTATTCAAGAAGGCATGGACAGAGGAAGAGAATGAGAAAAGAAAAGAAAAAAGGGGAATGAAAAAAAACTAACTCATTTTAGACATAAGAGAGATCAAGAAAGAAACATAAAAAAAGAGGAACCATGATAAAAAAAAGAGAGGACAGAGATGAAACTGTCCCAAAGCCTTTGGGTGAACAGCACAACAAAATAGGGTCGCCAAAGTCTTCCTCCACTTACGATATGGAAAGAAAAAAAAAAAAAAAAAAAAAAAAAAAAAAAAAAAGTCACTTGGGAAGGTGTCAGGAGCTGATGGGGTGAGCTGGAGGGTTGGAGCAGGGGGGGAGGAGACAACGTGGTGACCTGTAGGGTACTGCTGGGGGTCTAGTTGGCCGTTGGAGGAGCTGGTGGGGAACCCCCATCCTGTGGAATAAAGCCAAAAATTAAGTTCTAACCTAGAGATTAGAAGATATGATAAAAAAATTAGTAAATATCTATTAAAAAAAGTAAATATCTTTAAAGACAAACTTCACTTCAGTAGGAAGACAAAGACTACAATTCTGCTAAGGGGGAGAATTAGCAGGGAGAAAGAAGTTGAAAGGGAAAAGGAGACAAAGATGAAAGAAAAGAAAACACTTAGCATCTCAACCTCAATTCTTCAAGATCTGGGGTTCCTTGCCTATCATATCAAGGATTCACAAACATAATGTGCTGCAGTGAAGGCATCCCAAATATGAATAAGCAAAGATATTTACATAGAAGATACATACAAGATTGTAATGTATTTGACATATTAACCATGCAGTCCATCTTACCCAATCACCACATATGGCAAAAATACATGCCATGCCCAATGTAATACAAGTTTCTTTGTTGTAATGACACATAGATGGCTCTACAAGTGCTTAGTCACCAAGGAGTCAGTTATTAGTCCTACCTAACTCACCTGTTTATCCTTTTCCTTGACTTTTGGAAAGGGTTTTTTGCATTATTTCATTGTCTTGTATGTTATCAAGATTTTAATAACAATTTAATAGTCATAACATCAATAACAATTATAATTATATCAATGTCAACTGTATTAAAAAGAAACACATTTTTCCACCAATTCATGGAATGGGGAAATCAAGATCAGTCACTAGGGTTAATGACAGACTCCTTACCAGCTGAGCACATATGGAGCCATCTGTATGTAACAACATTCACAAAAAAATACAGGGGACAGAACGTAAATCCGGGGCGAATGGGTTAATAATGTTCATTTCTTAAGTGAAGTTCTGACATGTCTATTTCGTAGCTTGTTGGTGCCAATGGGTGTGGGGAAATGGTTTTCTTCCCCAATGGTGCCTACTCTAGACTGTTTCAACATAAACATTGAAAAGTGACATTTCACTCACAAACAAACCCAACAACATTAAAATTCAGTGAAAACACACTGAACCAAGAACAGCCTCCACTGTCATAGCATGAAGAGGTATTGCTGTTAACCAATACATACCCTGCTATAACAACATTATTGCTCTTCTTGCACTGAATGAGGTACTGCACCTTTCACTGCCTTAAAAAATCTGTTCATTGTGTGGTTTTACCTTCTGGTCATCCTATAAACCTTACAACGCCATACTTGCACAAAAATTACATTTACCACGAGGAGGTACAAACTCGTTATTAGTTTCAGGCGGGGGAGTCATGTTTTTGAGACCAGCTCCAGAACTCCTACGCCCCTCACCTGGTGGCTGTTGGAGGGCTTGGCATCTGGGTTGGAGCGAAGGGACGACGGCCGCAAGAAGAACAGGACAATGGCGAGAAGACCCCACATCATGGCCAGGAACATCATGCCATCAGAGCCAGTGTCACGGGCGGGCATTGTTGGCCCGGGCACTAGGGGGGGAGGGGGGAAAGAGGACGGTTAGGTGGGGAGGAAAGTTCTATTCCCTAAGCTTTGGTGGGGTTGTGAGGGTAATTTGGGACTAATTTCAGTTTCTAAAAACACTTACCTAGCACCTAATTACTATCATTAACATCTCCCTTAAAAATTCTCTAAAGAACCTGTGGTTCTGTTACTAAAGAACTATTCAGAGAATTATGTGTTATCAAAAAACATCCCTTTGTGTTCCAAAGCCTGTCAGTGATGGAGCATGATTGCATTTCTGTTAAACTAGAAGGGAAACTGTTATATTAACAAAGATTCAGCCACTAAAAAGATATTGAGGTTCCAGTAACATGGTAAAAATAATTAGGGATATATCTTTTATCCTTTAACCCCTTGGTGCCGGGTGACGCCGATCGGCGTGTAAACAAAGAGCTCGATAGCTGGCGTGCAGCCAAACGAGCCAAAGCGAGCCAGTGATTCGGGCTGATGTCCCCTACTCACACACTCAAAGTCGGCGCGCCGCCTTTGTTTGTTTAAGTGTAGAGTTTTTTTTTTTTTTGTTTTGTACACCCGGCGCCATTGGGTTAAGTATTATATACATTATTTTGAACATCACCAGCTGACATCCAGCTCTCATATCTTTATGGAATTTACTATTACTAGTCAGGTTACAGGAACCATACTTTTTTTCCTAGCCTCAAACAAAATTAATAAACTATTGATCCTTTACATAAACTTCTTTCAATATAGGTATTGTGTGTGACGAAGCATGGATTAAAGAAATGAGAAAGGAAGGAAAGTATTACCATTGTATGAAGGTTCTCAAACGTCACCATCCGTCTTCATACTTACTTTCATTGAAACATTCATTGTCTGTGCAGTAGGTCTGGGATTGTCTCAGCTGAAAAAAGGCAAGAAATTAATACAGAGTAAAAGGGAATGGAAAATCCATTCTGCCCTACACATCAAAACAATTCAGCTTTTTCATTTGAAGTCAACTACCATGTAATAAACAGAAGGAGTTAAAAATAGAAATAAAGAGTGTGGGGTGAGACGTGTAAAGAAAGAAAGCAAAGAGAAATGCCGGCATACAAAAAATTGGTCACAAGAATGTTTGGGACTTGAGTAAATGTGTAAGGTGCACATGCATATAAACATACATTCCTTTCTCTTTGTCACCTTACTTACCAAGCCCCTTCATAGCTCTCGTGCCTCTCCTCCCACCTTCAATACCCCCCTTCCTCACCCCCCGTCCGCTCTCCCTCCTCCCAACATCTGATGTACTGAACATTATCTCTTTTTCCCAGGAAAGGTCTGAAATGGTAAACACCTGTGGTGCTGCTGACTAATCAGCCAGCTGTCCTCTCTCTCATATGCACACACACATACACAAATTACACAAACAATTATGACAGTTCTTAGCTACTTTAAATGGCCACCCTGCCTATATGCATCATGATTACATCCCATACATTAACATATCAATCTGTAAATGCTAACTTAACCCAATCACCATGTATGGTAAGAATGCATGCCATGTCCAATGTAATACAAGTTTATTTGTTGTAATTACACATAGATGGCTCTACAAGTGCTTAGTCATCAAGGAGTCAGTTATTAGTCCTACCTATCTCACCTGTTTACCCCTTTCCTTGACTCTGGGAGAAGGTCTCCTGCATTTTCAATGTCTTAAAGGTTACCAAGATTTTAATAATTTAATAATTATAATATCAATAACAATACTAACAGTATCAATGTCAACTGAATAAATAATCATTTTCCCACCAATTCAAGAAATTGGGTAATCAGGATCAGTCACTAGGGTTAATGATAAGACTCCTTGCCAGCTGAACACATGTAGAGCCATCTATGTAAAAAAAAATAAATAAATAAATAAAATAAATAAAATAAATAAATAATAATAATCACAAAAAAACTACATGGGGCAGAACAAACCTGTGGCAAATGGGTTTATATTCTCCATCAACTGAACAAAACAAAGTGTGCAATACGATTCTGCAAATTTTTCAATCAACATCCTTTCCTTTTATGCCAATTACAAGTTGCTGTCAAGTCACTCTCTCCAGAGCAACTCACATTGCTCTTCTAAATCTCATACAGCAGTCTCTCACACACACACAATCCTCATTAAAATTCAAACTCCTTAGAGAAAATAATTGTCAGAAAAGCATAAAACCACATTTCTATTTCCAACCAAAAACTGACAGGCTGATGATTAGCCGACTCATTGGTTGAGACTAACCGAGGGTTCCCTTTCCAATGACCTTGAACTGCCTGATAAGCTGAATGAAAGATAGGGAAAAAAAGGGGGGGAGGGAGGGAGAGGGAGAGGAGGGAGAGGAGGAGAGGGGAGAGAGAGAGAGAGAGAGAGAGAGAGAGAGAGAGAGAGAGAGAGAGAGAGAGAGAGAGAGAGAGAGAGAGAGGAATAAAAGGTAGGGAGCGAGACAACAAGAGGGCAAAGAGAGATAAGAGCTTCCGGTCCCCTGTCCCTGAAGCCCCCTGCTCCAATTGCCACACCAGATCTCACAATATGACTGGGGGGGGGGGGGGGGGAGAAGGAACTGTAAGACAAGGAGGCGGCAAAAGATGGGAGAGAGAGGAAATTGGAGATGACAGGAGAGGATAAAAGAAGGGGCAGGAGGAGTAAGGAGAGGGGATACGAGGGGAGAAGAGGAGAGGGGATGGTAAAGGGAATGGAAGGAAACAGAAGGGAGAGAAATGGTAATGAAAGGAAGGTAAAGTAAGGTAAGGTAAGCTAGGAAAAGGGAAGAGAAGAGAAAAGAAAGGAAGAGAAAAAAAAAGAAAAGGAGGAATGGATGAGTAGAAAGAGGACTTAGCAAAGATTAAATCCCCAAACCATCCCAACTCCAAAACCATCTCGACTTGACCCCAGCACCTTGAATTTAAACTTTCCTGAAGATTTTCCAAAACTGGAACAAATATTCTCGTTCCCATAAAATCCCCCAGCCTCATCTTCACGTCGTCCCTCACAAAACCTCTCACTCCTCAAGGCCCCTCCAATCCCTTCTGCACCTCCCCTCCCACCTCTTGCCTCTCAGCGACACTCACCAGCGACAGGAGCCTCCTCATGGCCATCTCATGGCTCCAGATGCACTCGCAAGGGTCGAAACCTTCGTCCGCCATTGTCTTCCTAGTCTGTTGGTCGAAAGTAAATTTGTTTAGTAATAAAACTTATTCAAATCCTTGTCAGGCATTAATGGACTTACTAAATTATTTTGAATACACTCACTCCATACCTTCTTGTATCCAGCTGTGTATATAAAAGTAATATTCTATCATGTCTATACAATTACTTCATATTCTTTACCATTATTCCAAATCAAAAGAGCAAGCAATAGGTTCAAGGCAAAGATCAGCATCTTTCCCTTCAACCTATCGCTTGCTCTTTAAGCATGAAATGAAGCAGAATAGATATATAATAGAAAACTGTTCTTTGGTGGGAGGCAAAAAAAAAAAAAAAAAAAAAAAAAAAAAAAAGCAATATATTCCTTCTTCTAGTTCACAGATAGAGGATCATAAAAACCTTAAAATCTAATATGTAATGTTATCTATTAAATCACCCCTTTCATCACAAGTATACTAATCAAAATGAACTCTATACACTGATGAAGATCTTCAAATTCAATGAAGAACATGCAAGAAAGCTAATATTACCTGATACTAAAACAGCTCCTGAACAACTACTACATGTCTGGACACACCATGGTAATAGTGAATGTCCTTATCACAAGATTAACATGTTCTAACACAAATACAGAATACAGAAAACAGATAAGATACACGCTGTGATATACCTCACCCCCCTCTCTACTACTACCACCCCCCCTTAAATCTAAATAGTAAATAATGAGTCACAGCATGATCCTTGCACACTCAATAAAATTTTTACACTATCTTTAATCTGAATGGATGAATCACTAATTAAATAACCCAAGATTGTCACTTGTGTGTGTACTTATTTCTGTGTTGCTTGTACTCTAATAAAGAGTCAAAACGACCGTCCCCTATAACTACTCCTGCAACCAATGTTAAGGCGTCAATTAATAGCCTTTACAGAGAGAGAGAGAGAGAGAGAGAGAGAGAGAGAGAGAGAGATAGACAGACAGAGAGAGAGAGATACAGATAGAGACAGACAGACAGACAGACTGACACAGATAGAGACAGACAGACAGACAGACTGACACAGATAGAGACAGACAGACAGACAGACTGACACAGATAGAGACAGACAGACAGACAGACTGACACAGATAGAGACAGACAGACAGACAGACTGACACAGATAGAGACAGACAGACAGACAGACTGACACAGATAGAGACAGACAGACAGACAGACTGACACAGATAGAGACAGACAGACAGACAGACTGACACAGATAGAGACAGACAGACAGACAGACTGACACAGATAGAGACAGACAGACAGACAGACTGACACAGATAGAGACAGACAGACAGACAGACTGACACAGATAGAGACAGACAGACAGACAGACTGACACAGATAGAGACAGACAGACAGACAGACTGACACAGATAGAGACAGACAGACAGACAGACTGACACAGATAGAGACAGACAGACAGACAGACTGACACAGATAGAGACAGACAGACAGACAGACTGACACAGATAGAGACAGACAGACAGACAGACTGACACAGATAGAGACAGACAGACTGACACAGATAGAGACAGACAGACAGACAGACAGACTGACACAGATAGAGACAGACAGACAGACAGACAGACTGACACAGATAGAGACAGACAGACAGACAGACAGACTGACACAGATAGAGACAGACAGACAGACAGACAGACTGACACAGATAGAGACAGACTGACACAGATAGAGACAGACAGACAGACAGACAGACTGACACAGATAGAGACAGACAGACAGACAGACAGACTGACACAGATAGAGACAGACAGACAGACAGACAGACTGACACAGATAGAGACAGACAGACAGACAGACAGACTGACACAGATAGAGACAGACAGACAGACAGACAGACTGACACAGATAGAGACAGACAGACAGACAGACAGACTGACACAGATAGAGACAGACAGACAGACAGACAGACTGACACAGATAGAGACAGACAGACAGACAGACAGACTGACACAGATAGAGACAGACAGACAGACAGACAGACTGACACAGATAGAGACAGACAGACAGACAGACAGACTGACACAGATAGAGACAGACAGACAGACAGACTGACACAGATAGAGACAGACAGACAGACAGACAGACTGACACAGATAGAGACAGACAGACAGACAGACAGACTGACACAGATAGAGACAGACAGACAGACAGACAGACTGACACAGATAGAGACAGACAGACAGACAGACTGACACAGATAGAGACAGACAGACAGACAGACTGACACAGATAGAGACAGACAGACAGACAGACTGACACAGATAGAGACAGACAGACAGACAGACTGACACAGATAGAGACAGACAGACAGACTGACACAGATAGAGACAGACAGACAGACTGACACAGATAGAGACAGAGAGACAGACAGACAGACTGACACAGATAGAGACAGACAGACAGACTGACACAGATAGAGACAGACAGACAGACTGACACAGATAGAGACAGACAGACAGACTGACACAGATAGAGACAGACAGACAGACTGACACAGATAGAGACAGACAGACAGACACAGATAGAGACAGACAGGAAGACAGACACAGATAGAGACAGACAGGAAGACAGACACAGATAGAGACAGACAGACAGACAGACACAGATAGAGACAGACAGACAGACAGACACAGATAGAGACAGACAGACAGACAGACAGACACAGATAGAGACAGAAAGATATACAGAGAGAGAGAGAGAGAGAGAGAGAGAGAGAGAGAGAGAGAGAGAGAGAGAGAGAGAGAGAGAGAGAGAGAGAGAGAGAGAGAGAGAGAGAGGATATTTGGGACTTCCAGAGATGAAGACCCAAAACCAAATCTTACAAATACAATGGAGTATCGTGCAAATCCAAAAAACCTAAACCTAACATTCCCTACCACTTATTTATTCCCTAGCAAGTGCCCCCTGTACCCCTCCCCCCCTTTATCAAAACTTTGTCCAACTTATTGAAAACTAAGGCCTTTGGCTGTGTGTGGGTGTTGTGCATATTTTCGTTATTTCGCAATACATGTGAGGCCGCAGCACCTGTCATGTTTATGAATATATCTTATGCTCTATGAGAAGGAGGTGTCCATTCCATTTCTCTCTATCTCTGTGTATTGAACCCAGTAACATAACCCACAGAGAGAGACAGTAATACCAATAAAAAAAGCAACAACAACAATAACAAATTAATATTATAAATAAATATATATATATATATATATATATATATATATATATATATATATATATATATATATTATATTTGATTTACTTTCCCCTTGCCATTCATCAAGGAAAGCTGCCTTCTTGCCTCAGCACAGGAGTTCAAGAAACCCAATTTGCCAGCTGCATTCATTAGGTGGGCGATTTGGGTAAACAAGTGCAAAATTTATGGCATACCTTGATTTTCAGTTAAATATTTCTGCTCATAAATCTTCCCTAATTGATCAGTCAACATATCATTACGGTTAAATTATTATTAATACTGAAATATAAGCTTACATAATAAACCATCTCTGGCACTAAATTGCAATATTAAAATCTTAATTACCAGTATATTAACAAAAGTTGAAAAAAAAATAGATTGAAATGACTGACGAATAAATAACTGCAATCATTCAAGTGTCATTTTCCTTTATTTATTTTTGTTATCAATCACAATAGGACTAGATCTCTGCTTTCAAGTTATTCTTTTCTTATAACCTTATAAAAACTTTAACAAATCATCTACAGGGTAATTTTTAAAAATCAGAAATAAGCCTAACAGTTTTTAGAGAAGAAATTACATTGTTTTATCATTAATAAACAGAATTATATCAATATCTTTTTGGATTGTTAAAAGGCAAGTGTCAAAGTCTATTTTTTTTTTTTTTTTAACGATAAAGCCAGAAGAAAGGGAGATACGTATTTAGAATTCAAACCCCAGAAATCCTCTAGTACTTACAAATAAAAACAAAATTAAAACAAATTGGGAAATATTTCTCGTATACTTTCGAAAAGTTATACGAAAAACGCAACAATATGGAACTTGATATTGAGCAAAACAAAAAAATTAAAACCCCCGTTATTCTCTAAACTTGAAAGAAATTCACATAATTAGAAGAATCAAATAGCAAAGACAACCGCCATAACCCTAAAAGAATAATCACAAAAACACCGAAAAAATAAAAGATAAAGAAAACCTCGAACTATTGAACCATAAACTCTCTCTCGCCATTGAAAAATCATAACCTAGAAAATAAAAATCAAGACAAAAATAGGCCTACCACACCGGATAAAAAAGGCTCGTTCTCGCTACTCACT